TCCCTTTTTAACTTTTAGATTTTATCAAAAAACCCCTTTAACTTTGAGATATTGTTAAGAAAACCCGTTTTCTGATAAAATCTCAAAGTTCAAGGGGGTTTTGTGATAACACTTAAAACTTCAGAGGGTTTTCTGATATTTTGAAATTTAAGGGGGGTTTTCTGATAATTGCCAAAGTTAAAAGGGGGTTTTATGATATCGAGCCATAAATAAATATCTCGTTGCTGAATCGTTTCAAAAGCACTGACATTCTATGGAAATTCATGTTACAGATTTTTGTAGACAAAGAATGAGTATTTGCAAATCTGCTGTCCTGGCAGTTGGGGCTTAAGTGCTTGTTGGTGGAGCTGGGACAACACACTGATCTTTCCATAAAGTGTGTTTTTAGTCCAGCTTAAGTTTATTAACTACTGTATAAATATTGTACAAGGGTTCACCATGTAGAACCTTTTAATCAATAGTTTTCTTTTATGGCTTTCTCCATTTGTTTTTGCACATAATTGTGTTTTTTTCTCGTATTTTTTGTGTTCTATATGTCCTATGCAAATAATTTAGCATATTATCTTTTTAGAGGGAACTGTCGTGAAATTTCGGTTTTTTGTAAAACTGCTCATAATATACACGGTTAACAGAACAAAGTGATAATTTTCATCCGTATTTTATTAATTTGCATTCTAAAAGTTAACCGAACTCTCAAAAAATTTTAATTCCCTTCATAGGTTCTCCTCTCAGTCCCTCCAAAAGCTATCCGCGGTGAGCTTTTTAGGTAGTTATATTTTCTTATTTAACAGAACATAGATGATGAAAGTATGGTTTGGTGCCTGTTGTGCATACCATCTTGATAATTTTATGAAAGATTACAATTTTGTGGTTTATTTTTCTTAACAGATCGTGCAAATAAGTGACCAAAATGAGTTACCTATTGTATCCTCCGTTTAAATAGACAGTTGCTGTTAAAAAAATTTCCTAAAGACCAAAATGCCCTTCCCACTAATGATTACCCTCCCCCTCTTTTATTACTCGGCTAACTGTAAGAAAACTCCCTTTCATCTTCCCCAAAATTTACCGCATTCAATTAAGATATTGCGGATGAAATTAATGTTTACCAGATCGTGCAAACAAGTGCAGAGTGGCTTGCTAATCATTATTTGTTGAAAATCAAAGATAATCCAACTTAGAAGCTAAATGACTTAAAAAAAAAAGACAATGGACAGTGATCTACAGCTGAATACTAAGAAATTCAGGGTCTACAGAGCAAAGAAGGTAGCACTTGAAATCATAGAGGGAAGTTATAAGGAACAATATTGGAAGCTTTGGGATTATTCTCACATTTTACTGGGAAAAAATTCCTAATAGTTTGATTAGGGTGAGGGCTACAAGAAGACATTTGAGTGAACCTAACACATTTTATTGGATCAAATTATTGGATCCAATTATTTGTGAATTATTGGATCCAACAGCAGATGTAGACCTAGTGTGAATACACTCTCAGCGACTTTTTTTTGACTCATAAATTGACTCTTTTATGAGTAAAAAAAAGTAGCAATAGGAGAATTATCCTTACCAATGAACTATGTAAGAGTCAAAATTCACTCAAGGGATCTATTGGCACAAATACAACAAGGGATCTGTTCGCGATTGTGCAGTACAGCAGGGGGCTCTAGTCACGCTTAGCCCTACCAAAAAAATCTCTGAATGTGTTAGGCAGCTCGCATTAAGTTCGTGACTATTTACACCAAGCAAGCAACTTGCCCCTTCTCTCCATATTTTATCAAGTAATTTGCTCAACAAATTTGAGAATAGGCCTTTTTTTCCCCCACAACTCATTTTCTTTTGGAAAATACAACTATTTTCCAGCAAAAGAAGATGAAAAAAAGGACCTAAGAAGATCCTAACAAGGCCTATTGCTTCAGAAAAGCGTACATGCACGTGTTACACCACGTGTTACACCAACAGGTAAATAAGCGAAAAAAAAATTAAAAAAAAAGTAAATAAGCAAAAAATTATTAGTAACTTGGTCGCTACAGGTTTGGGAGTTTAGGTGAGTGGTTGGTATTAATGGCTAGCACTGGGAGAGTCCTTTTCCATGTAAGGCCAACCTAAGAATTTACTTCAACAAAGAAAACAAAATCCCCCCGCATATCATATATGTACAACGACTCATTCAAATACAACTAATCATTAAGGGGGGAATGAAGAAGACGACTATTACAAAATGTTCATTTTCCTGCACTTGCAAAAGTATGTATCAGAAATATCTAAAATAGAGCTCTAAAAGGTCGAAGAGCTAAACAACTCGGACCCATGATCCACCACACATTGGGCAGCCATGAGCCCATCGACTAATCCACCATGCTTCCTTTTCATTGGCCGGATTGGGTGCACCAGGTTGTGCAAACGCACACGTCTGCCTCAAACATCTTATGCACTGCACGAAACACAAAACTTTGCATTAAAACAGAGAAAATAAAATGTTTAATTCTACAAAGTTATCGGTAAGACAATTTTGTTCAATGATGAGGATGAAATAGGTATTATAACGGAGAAAATAAAATGTTTAATTCTACAAAGTTATTGATAAAACAATTTTGTTCAATGATGAGGATGCCATAGGTATTATAAGGGCATTAGTTGCTCCACAAACATCTGATACATGTGCAAAGTCAGAGAGCCAGTATACACCAGCTCAGTGGCCATCGCCAACACATGCGAGAAGAAGACATAAGTATATGGTACAACCCATATATCTGTACTCATGGTTCAAGCAAATTCACATGTGACCACCAATGTAATTGTACATCAACAGAGCAGTGAAGGGATCTCTGAACATCTCCCGATTTTGCCATGTCATGTGACGAACAATCCTTTTTTCTAGTACTTGATCAATTACATCCCACTTTCTGAGACTCTGAGCTATCATCATTTCATTTAATATGATACTCCACCAAATATATTCCATAGAGCTTGCTGTCACTAACCATAGGGCATATTGTTTTACCTCCTTATGAGCCAACTTCATCAGTTAAAATAGGGAACAAATATCTCAAGTCTTATACGGAATTTTTTTTTAAAAGCTTTTACGAGCACTTTTCATAGATAAAGAACAAATTAGTGATAGTAGAACACAAGCAATCAACTCAAACCTGACAAATATTTTCCAGTAAGAATCTGAACAAAACGCAAAATAAGCAAGAGTTTCGATATGAGAATACGTTATGTACCAAAACAAGCCCATTTAAACATATGTCCACATGAAAATCCTTGAGCAATCCACACATTCATAGACAAGGCAACCACCTAAACTATCAAAATGAAAGCACAGGCATGTTATAACCAAACTCAACCATAGAAGGATTCAAATTTAGCAACCATGATAGCATTATTAAAAGAAGCATATAGCTATAGTTTGAGTTCTCCATAAGCTTCGGGTTTTTGAAAAAAGAATGTTTCATGTTTGGACTTCATAGACCCAAACAAAATGAGGTATAAATAATTAATACAGCCAAACCAACACATCAGGACATAGGAACATCAGGAACTAAGGGAGAATGTAGAGCATGCCAACTGTTTCAAATCTTAATGCATACATTAAGACTAGTGCAAACATCTAGTCTGTAGAATGAGCGACTTACCAAATGTAACAAAACGGATATCATCCAGTACAATTAACATTCCTAAAGACAATGTGAGAAGTTCTAAAAACCTCCAACTTCTCAATTCAGTGGTCCAGAAGTGTAATTCTTATTAAGAGTGACTAGACTGGTCCAGAAGTGTAATTCTTATTAAGAGTGACTAGACCATCTTATTTGAATCACAAAAGGTGACAATTGGAATAGAGAGTGCTCGAATTTATTTGAATCGCAAAAGGTGACAATTAGAATAGAGAGTATACAGCTTGAATTTAGAGTCCAATGCCCTTTAGTCAATGAGAGCAAATTGTTTCAAGGTGATGTCTGTGTGTGCTTGTTGCATTAACATTTTTATTTGTTTTCTTATTTGTGTAGGTGCTTAATTCTGGCTATCAGGAAATATAAAAGGAAATTTAACATTTAGCTGGCACAATCAATAGTTTTCCTCAGAAGGATGAAATGATTTTCTTAAACATTACTTAAAAGGATTTTTATTTTTACGAGGCCAAAAGCAAAGAAGGTTTGAGTCTGACCTTATACCATACACCTTCAAGGCCTGTTTTCCATACAGCTGTGACCACATCCCTGCGAGATCCCATGATGCCCAAATATGATCCCAGTCCCACTGATGTCTTCAAACCAAATGCTGCATCTCTCTCTGATAACCGACGTTTTCTTGGCCAGAGGGTCCTAGAATAATCATCATAACCGTCTACCAAGTTGGATATAGAACGGTCAGAAGCACTGCTCAGCTTTGATTTTGCTGGGTTGTCCAATGGACCAAGATCGTCAGGATCTGACCAGGGGCCCCCAAACATATTACGTCTGTGCCACTCTTCAGCGGGAGGGTGCAATTCCAACTCACGAAGTAACAGCCCAGCAGCATCAGCACCACGAGGTCTAGGCATGTTCTGCAAGATATATAACCCATAACAAGACTTCATCATTCCTAGGCAAAAAAGAAAAAAATAAAAAAATAAAAATAAAAACGAGTTAATTGCTGATAGACCCCCTATACTGTCAAAATTGCAGATGGCCCCCCTGTAGTTCTATTGTCGCACATAGACCCTCTAACCCCTGACTGAATTTTTTTAAACTCTTACCAAAACTATTTTGGACAAATATACCTTGAGGGTAAAATAACCGAATAGAACCTGTAGTTCTATTGTCGCACATAGACCCTCTAACCCCTGACTGAATTTTTAACTCTTACCAGAATTATTTTGGACAAATAGACCTTGAGGGTAAAAGAACCGAAAATAATTCACTCAGAGAGTCCATCCGCAATAATAGAACTACAAGGAGTCTATCTGCAATTGGGCAATACTACAGGGCATATATCCGCAATTAACTCTATAAAAGGATGCAAGGCTTGGGACTGAGATTATGGATACACCCACAAAATTTATAGAGTTTAAAACTCCAAATGTGTCAAATCACTGTCTAAAGTAAGCTACAACATCTAAAAAGGTCACTGGTGAGTACAAATAGAACCCAATAGAAGCAATATTTACATACAAACCGCACCTGCATGTGGGGGCCAAGTGATGCCTCTACAACCTCAGGCAGCACTGTGTAATTTCCATCAATATAATGCAGACGTATTATAATCTGTGCTGCCCCTACCTGAGATGCAGGCAATGGGTGTTGCAAACCAGCTGTTCTCCTACAGAGATCTACCAATATGAGGAATAGGACCTTCACCTGTGTGGAGGAAACACTTTCAATAATGAACATCGTACTTAAATATATCGTGAGGGAATGACAGTAATTTGATTCAATAACAGGGAAACAGACAAGGCAATTTCACTACAAGTAACTAGAATACAAATGAAATCTGGTCGACAAATTCAATTAACCATACAGGAATGGAACTGGTGGGAGTTGCCAGTCATCCAACATCTCACCTGCATTCTGAATGTAGAATGCGCATTGCTTTACTAGCAGAAAATAAAGTCTTCAATTATCCCAGCATGCTTAAAATTGACATCTCATATTCCATAAAATGCAATTCAAGAGGAAGTTTGAGCAGACAAAGGAAAGATATTCAGAATATAACAACTAATGCAAGTTTTTTATGTTCGTTTCTTTCCTGACAGACTTCCCACCCAATTCTTTTGTTTATTTAATAGTTTCCAAATCCCTCCCCCCTCCTCTCATACTACCAATTCCCGAGGGAACAAGCAACAGACCTCGGTCTTTGAACCATTTATGCCTTAGGCTAACATGCAATAAGGGAACAATGTCAGTTTGCTATATATCTGAACATATAATTGGTTTACAGCTTCAACCATAAATAAGCCAGAGGGCATAGGCCAAGCCAGCCTAGATCTGACACTGGCTTTAAAATAAAATTAAAAAAACCGAGTGCATGGGTAATCTAATAATCAACCAAGAAAGGCATTCACTGACTCCTAGTCTGAGCCCCTGATGATGCATTGTGACAACAAAAGTGGCAATCTTCATTGCCAGCATTCTTGTTTGCCATGAGATCACCAAACATATAGAAGTGAACTGCCACTTCTTAAGGGAGGCAGTGATGAAGAAGCTAAAAGAAGCTACTTGAGACTCATTTTACTCGCTCATACAATCAGATTGTTGATCTTTTCACTACACTGTTGAATTAGGGTGTTGTACCTCTTTGTGTAATGAGCTAGGCATGATTGATGTCTATGCTCCAGCCTAAGGAGGAATGTTAAAATAAAAATCAGACTAGTTTAGTTATTTCGTTCATATGCAGTAATTTTAAATCACTCGTCATCTACTAAACATATCATCTATAATAGGTTGGTGTGGCTCAATAAAGATATCTCTAAGATTTCTCTTCACAGGTCACATTCACAAGACCTAATTACACATTAATTAATTAATGCACGTATAAAATATATGAAAAAATATTATGCAAATATATATATATATATATATATATATATATATATATATATATCATACTCCTTTTAAAAGTACCGAGTTCGGGAAAATCTTTCCATAGTAAATATTACCCTTAACTTTTTAAAATTTTACATTGTTATCCTAATCTATTATAATTATCATATCTTCTTTGAATTAGTAAGTAAATGATTTTTCATATTCATAATGAGACTTAAACATGTTATTGGATAAAAAAATATGTTTGACATAAATTCAAATCTTTTACTTATTTCAGTTCATAGAAAAATCTAAAAAACATATGCTAGCTAGCTCCTAAAATTTTTTAGACTTTGTAAAACATATCATCTAAGTTTTTTAAATTATAAAAAACCCCCTACAAAATTAAAATTTTATTAAAACATCTTAAAAATACCATATCATACTCCCTTTAAAAGTATGAGTTCGGGAAAATCTTTCCATGGTCAATATTACCCTTACCTTTTTAAAAAATTTACATTGTTATCATAATCTATTCTAATTATCATATCTTCTTTGAATTAGTAAGTAAATGATTTATCATATTCATAATGAGACTTAACATGTTATTAGATAAAAAAAATACGTTTGATATAATTCAAATCTTTTACTTATTTCAGTTCATAGAAAATCTAAAAAACATATGCTAGCTAGTTCCTAAAGTTTTTTAGACTTTGTAAAAAATATCCTCTAAGTTTTTTAAATTGTAAAAACACCCCTAGAAAATTGAAATTTTATTAAAACATATCACTGGTAATGCATAGATACGTCAATTAATAATGATATTGAAGAGTAAGTCGTTCTTAAGATTATTAGGCCATGGTTATGTGTACAACACATCACTGTTCCTAAGCAGTGCAATTTATATATGCAAAAATTTTCAGACAATCTATATATTGGTTAAAAGGATTTTAACTCTAATGTACTATTTGTTATAAATTATATTTAATATGAATCCACCATATAATTTTGACTGTAGTCATCATAATTATAATACGTTTATAATTATAATACGTTTGATTGATTGACTATATAGGTATATAGATACGTCAATTAATAATGATATTGAAGACTAAGTCGTTCTTAAGATTATTAGGCCATGGTTATGTGTACAACACATCACTGTTCCTAGGCAGTGCAATTTATATATGCAAAAATTTTCAGACAATCTATATATTGGTTAAAAGGATTTTAACTCTAATTATAATACGTTTATAATTATAATACGTTTGATTGATTGACTATATAGGTATATAGATCATAGATTACTTTACTTTCTCATATGAACTAATATTTAGCACTTAATAATTTAAATTATTACTTCTAAATTTAATACAATTTCAATTCTTATTTTTGCTTGAGATTTATTCCATAGTTATGCATATCAAATTAATAACTAAAATAATAATTATTAATGCTTAAATTAGAATGATTATAGTTGGTCACTCACTATGAAATTTTCATGAAGATATATACCTTATATTGTAGTATAGCTATCTGTACCGCCCATGTATATTTTATAAATTAGTTATTAATTTGACATATTAAATTATTTTTTCTTTGTAGAAATTTCTTCTTTGACTTTTGGATTGTGCAATCACTACATCATCATTCTAGCATAAAAAAGACCTCACCTTAAATGACTTTAAGCCAATGTTTGAGTTAAACTGAAATATATACTATTGCTATAATGTTTATATATTTTTCAAAAAAAACATGTCAACACTTTTTAAACATAAGAGAATATTCTAACATCTGATATTATTAAAATTAAATATGACCAATTGAGTGATTAGCAAAAGAGAACTTACATCAGAAAAACATGAATAATAAGATAAAGAGGAAATATAATGACATTGCCAACAATACTACAAATAGCAAACCGTAATATAAACTTAACCTATTTTGTGGAACCTAACTATTATCTATAAGCATTAAGGTTTCCATATATATAGTTTAAAATTTATTAAAAATGGTCATATAATTTTATATAATAAAATTAATTTAATACTAAATAGTAATATCGTTATTAGGAAAAATTCTTCATGAACCAATATGTTCTTTAAGACATATTAGCTATGCACTCCAGATTCTTATGTCTTTTATAGAGTCAAAAAGTTTGAATACGAGCCTCTAACATGTTGCTCTCACAACATCAAAATCCATTTAAAAATGTGGATATTCAAGATGAGTTATATGTCCTATATACAACCATAGGCAAGTGACTTATAATAGCATTTTTTATTCACATTGTTTAGGGTAATATTTGATAGGAACCTTGCATAAAAAAAAAGAAATTTTTATATTTAGAGCAAATGACGAAATATATCATAATCTTCTTGCTCTAATTTCGCAAGAAAATAATTCTTTATACTTTCAGTTTTACTTCTATGATACAGAGAATGTGCTATAAAATTGAATGAGAATATTAGATAATGTAAATATGAGTGAAACTATAACTAAAAGTTAATGTGAATATGAGTCAAACCACAGCTAAAAGTTTAATGGACACATTACAAGTAAATTCATATAAAAAATTCCTTTACGAATTGAATGATCACCCATCTTTTGAAGACTTTAAGGTACTAATAAACAAAGATGTTGTACTAGATTAATGTATTTATAACTCACAAATAGTAGATCACGTGGTTACAGTTTGGGTTGAAGGAAACAATGACGATATTTCAGTTAAGAGAGAGATTATTGAGTTGATCAATCCCACAAAAACTTTAATTTATTTTTATTCTATTTTATTAATTTATATAATCATGATATTTAACCACGTGCATTGCACGTGCATCTCAACTAGTATATATATATATATATATATATATATATATATATATATGAGATTAATTGGGTATCCTTATCATAGGAGTGGATATTCCCTCCTATGTACGCTCTAAAAATCAACATGAATTGAGCGAGCATTCGTGATGATCCCTCCGTTGAACTTTGCTCTACATATTTCTAAAACCAACACACCAAGTTTGGGTGAACCGTGTCGTTTGAACCCTTCATCCACTCAGTATCAATTTAACGGGTTTGAATGAAATAGAACTTTTCAACATGCGATGGAGGTTAAACCGCACGACGGGTTCCCCCGCAAACTTGGTGTGTTGGGTTTTACGAATATGTAGGATCAGTTCAACGGCGAGCGGATCACTCGAATAAGTTGTCGCTCATCATATGATTTTTAGAGCCGTCAAGAGGAAATCCCCTCCTATGACAAATGATACCCATTAATCTCTCTCTCTCTCTCTCTCTATATATATTATATATATATATATTATATATATATATATATATGAGTGGCTAAGAATGTTGGTGGACATCAACTTAAGTTGACATAGATCAACTCTCTCTCTCTCTCTCTCTCTCTATATGATATATATATTATATATAATATATATATATATATATATATATATATATATATATATATAATATATCATAGTTATGCATAAGTTTCTTAGGTATCTACCTAATGTGATATGAACCAACCAAAAACCAATCGAAATGTACCAGATTTACTTGGCTTGGATTTGGGTCCTTAAACTCGGGAAAACTGAACAAAACCAACCAGATATTCAACTCTATGTGATATTAAAACTTTTCTGAAAGAATTTTGAGAGAACACTCAATCCAGTTGAAGTCGCCACCAACTTGCAAATAATCCTGGCTTTGTGCTAAAATCACATAACAAGGAGAAATTAAATCGATTGCTCATTTACATATAGAGAGGCTGGAGGTGGTTATTTCTTATGAGACACATTCATTAAAAAAAAAGACGGTGTATAGAACTGACAACATGTTACCAAGCTGGATTTGCATCTTCCACTGCTCCTTACATCACTCAGTTACTCACAAAATCAGTAAGTGCTTCACTTATTCACTTATCTGTGCTCATAGGAAATTGAATTCCCATGTGGAAGGCCACTCATATGACAAAGCAGATAGGGAAAAAAATCCCAACAGGCATTAAAATAGTAAATTTCAACAAGGGCTACTACTTTGCTATAAAAAGAAGCTATTTCCGTTCCTGTCTGACAGATGAATTATTTGATCAAGTCAGATCGTCTGTTAAAAGTTCATGCCAAAAGCCACATTTTCAAGGCCACTACACTGAGTTTTGGTAAAATAAGGTCCAGCAAAGGAACAAGCTCCCTTATGTACTCTCATTTCATTGTTCATTTACATGTACAAACATCAAACAGATTGAAATGCTCTACTGGAAATGAAAATTATGAAATCAAAATTATTAGCGATCAAGAATTAACTATTTCTATTAGATAAAATATATGGATTACTACCATTAAGCAAACATGTGAAGATGATCTGTAGTATGCACTTGGATATTATAAATGCATGAAGAATAGCATTACCTCCTCTGATGTATAGCCTTGACCTGCATTACCAGAACCTAATCTTACTGACTTGCCTGGTGGACCTTCTTCCAGGCCTTTCGCACCAAGAATTACTTGTCCAGCCCGGACTGCCTGGCCTTCTTCTAATTTGGCAGCCCCTAAAGTGGGTCTTGCTGTTGTACTGCTATCCTCGACTTTACCATTACTCATAGGCTGGGTTTTTTGCAAATTTGGATCTTGATTTTTCTGCGTAGCTCCAAGAAAGCGGGGTGATTGTCTTCGTCGGAAAAGTAGACAAAAGAGCAACAGTTGACATAATCTGTGCAGGAAATGGCAGTCCCCAATAAGTCTGACAGCAGGTGTTCCAGGAAAAGTGCCTGTATTTATACTTATTGGCATAAAAGGAGATGATCCACTGATGGGGTTCGGAGTCGCAGAGGAATTTCCCTCAGCATTATTGCTAATCTTAGCAATGGCACCTTGTACCCATGCTTGCATCTGCGAGCTTCCAGTAGTACTTGTTACTCCACTTTGATTGGCTGAAAGTTACAAGCACCACCTCCGAACTCAGAATATTTTTCTTCCAAGTGCACACAAGCATGTGCATAGAAATGAGAAATTTATCCATACCAGATATATTTGAGGTTATTTGCAAAAATAGGGATTCTCCTTAAGATGTTAGGGCTTTCTAGAAATTTTGTCAATTTGTGGATCTTCGTGTAATACTTCTTTGGAAACTCAAGTGCTTTGGTTACTTACAATTAGGAGTTGCAATCAGATCGGGTGAGGTCAGCTTTGACCAGGTACATCTTTTATTTTATTTAGTTACAATTCCTTCACAGCATCCCCCNTCTCCCCTCACATCAGGTCAGCTTTGACCAGGTACACCTGCGTTTGTTATATTTAGTTTCAATGCTCTGCCATAAGAATTTTCTTTAAACCAACCAACTTGATCTTATTAGACCTACTATTGTAGGTTACTTGAAGAACTAGGTTACTTGAAGAACTAACTGCTACAAGTGGTTGGATCATAGTTGCATGGAACCCTGTTCGTTCCAGTTCACAGACAGGTACAAAAGCGTAGTATGCCACTCATTAGGAATTGGGTATGAGGGGGTAGGCTTATATGGTGCGCTAGGGTACATGGTACACTTTAGGTTCGGATCTTAAATGTGGAATTAGAGATTTTGCAAGAATGAAATTTAAGAAACATGCTTGTTGATATCAGTAGTGGTAAAAACTAAAAAGAACCTTGATAATCATGTTGCAGTAAGATATGCATACTTTATTTGCTTAATTTCTCGCTTTTTTTGTTGTTTATTCTTTTAAAAAAGAGTTGTTTTTTTCAAAACTTTAATTGGTTTGGATTCTAAATCAAGTCGCTAGAAATGGTAAATTGGATCGTGTTCCACACAAATCCGGGACGATTGAAACCAGGTCACGATTCTCTATAGCATCCTACTTCCCCAACTTCTATGGGTTGGATTTAGCAACCTGGAATATCAGATTGGAGGAAACATTAAATCAGTATATGTATCATGTACTGTTTTTTTCCTGTGAATCGTATCTTGTTATCATATTGTGTTGATACCATAAGATATGTTAAACAATGCAAAAATAGTCAAATAAGCAAGGCGTAAAATAATATACACCACTTAAATATGATCAAATTATAAGCATAAAACAGTGAATTTCCAAGGAGAAATGGTGAAAAGCATGCAACTACAAAACACAATTATGCAATATATACAACTAAATATAAATAGGAAATAATGGGTATGAGATGGCGGCTAATTTTGCTAAATGAGCTACTAAGAGATAAATCATGTGATGAGGCTCACCTTGCTAGTAACATCAAAAAGTGTAGACTTCATCACTCTATCTCTTGGTAGCTCATTTTAGTAATTATGATACTAAATTGACCCCTCCCCCCTCCGCCTCTCCCTTCCTCTCCCCCCCATTTCTCATTCTCATATAAATAAGTAGTACAAAATGGCACCACTCATTCAATTTCAATTTTCAATCATGACAAGAAAATGTAAATACAAATGCAGTTAAATATATTGTACCTTTGATGAAAGCCAAATTCTTAAACCAAGTTAAGAAGTTCTAACATATTCTATTTATGTTGCAAAAAATATTTTGATCAGTTTTTCTGGAACTGCAATTTTTCTGTGATGAAAATTTGAATCAACTCAAACTACAATTACCTGTTCGATTTAACTCTTAAGAATTTATGCATGATGAGTAATTGGCATTCAGAAGAATGACTTCAGAATAAAAAAAATTGAATTCTAAAAATAGAACTTTGCAAGTTATAATAAAATAATAGAACTATATCAGAACTGAAAGAAATCTTGTATAAATCAGTTTATGTGCAGCATGCAGCCATTGGTTTATGTCACATGTTGTCATCGGTTTGTGCATCATGCTGCCATCGGTTTATGCACAGCATGCTGCCAACACTAATTTCACATGCACGCACACCCTCCTCCCCCATTCACCCCCACGCGCGTGCTCGCACCCACGCGCGTGCTCGCACCCACGCCGCACTCATATGCACATGCGCCTGCGCACACACACACCACAAATACGCATATGCGCACACGTTTTCAATTTGAGTAGCATGGAGATTCTTACCACATGGTTATCTCTTGGCCAGCTCATTTTTAGCAATATTGCAGCGCTACCTCATACCCATTGCCCACCCCCCCCCCACAAAAAAAAAACACACACTCACGCAATGTTGCACACACGTACCCATTAATGAGGGATTGGTATGGACGCAATAGCTGCCACTATAAGGCATAGACGAATCATACTCATGCAAATCAAGTATCAGCCAAGATACAGTTTTTGGGAGGTTATTATCAGATTGGCATGCTCAAAATCTCATCCGCTATGTCCAGTAAGAATAAAAAATATTTTGGTTTTTTTAAACTATGTGCATGTTGAAAGTGGTTATTCTCTTTAAATCGTTTTTCGCAAGACTAATTCTATCACAAGGATTATTTCATATTGCAGGCTTACAGCTTCAACAATTCATGCAAGACATTATGCATTCTCTACTCTTAATGAAATCGAAATATAGGCAAAATGTATTTGATCCTACAAATATAGGGAAAACAAAATAGATGGACACCATGAATCATTACGAGTCATAAGATGAGATGTCTAACCTTGTTCCATGAGAAATTTGAAGATATAAGATACGAAGTTCATTCCATAATAAATCATTTATAACATTATGATGCATACCTTGACTTGTTGCTGGAGATGCAGAACTGTGAGTTGGACTTGCCACTATATTGCGAGCACTGTTTGTGCCGGAAGATGCTCCAACAGCATGACTTGCCAAGGTACGACAGAAACTGGCATAACGCCGTAAGCGAGTAATAAAGTGCGAGGCGAGGTCAAGGACGGCATCAACATAAGCCTGCCATGTATGTCATCATTAAAAGACTGCAGTGTAATAGCTTAAGTATTCATCCAAAGACGGTGATTGTTCCTATTACCATTGACATGGAAAATCTCAAACAGCAGTTACAGCACATGATTATTCAGAAAAAAAGCAATATAATGGACAAATACAGCTAACATATCAAATATATGATAGATAATTTAACTCTTATAATAAAATTAACACTCCAACAACTGCTTTCACAATCAAAATATTATGAAGCATTTGAGTACACAGGAAGATATATAAGTAAAGTACGGAACACTGTCATCATGAAGATAAATGAGAAGGTGCAAAGTGTTTTCATGAGCCACATATTACAACCCATGCCTAGGATGTCGACTGTATAACTAAATGAGAAAAATACTAGTTGTGAGTAAAGCAAGTTCTGATCCACTAATAGAAAAATGATTTCAATTTTAACCAATCAAAGTTATGAAATAAAACAAATATCATAACTTCATCAATATTGTGGGTGTTAGATTTTTTTTAAAACGGGAAATTTGGATTTTCTGAAGCAACATGGCTAATGTTCACTGCCGTGAGCTGAACATATACAAAATTACCATAGCAATTAACATCTAGAAAACCAGTGTTGCAGCCAAAAACATGTTCAATTTTCTTTAAAATAAAAATAGAATATGTGAAGCTCATGCCATTAATACCACAAAGAGCATGAAGAGGCATCAGATTAATCCATGAATTGCTCCAAATCTACATGTAAGTGAAGTAGACAGAAGGACTTGACCATACGAGGCAGAAGTGAATATGTTTCCATTATGTATCTAGGTTTAATGGAAACGGGTACAGTTTCCAGTGCGGATGCGGGACACGGCAAATCTACCATGGCTACACATATACTGAAATTAATAATTTACATGAGATCATTATTACTTTTCAATTCGTGCTATTATAATTAAGATTCCTATCACATTTTTAAGTTTCTTTTATTATGTCGATCGTTCTAATTTGAAAACTGCTTTTCTTTGAACAGGGCACTCAAACTGGACACTTAAATGACCCGTATGGGCAGAAACAAACCCGACCCATGTCTTAACAAAATTTAAGAAATGGATATGAAGTGTAGATACGTCCAAGAAGTGTATGACAAGTGATTAGACATATATCAATATAATTGGTACATGTCTAAATAAATGTATGCATATATCGAAGGAGTGTCCATGAAGTTTTCGTACCGGTATGTACCGGGTACGGGTACGGCTTCAAGATAGAAATACTCAGGTAACATAGAATAGTATAAATGTTTGCTTGTTATCATGGTAAAGCTAACTAATAAAATGAAACCCTTACATGTAGGGGTGCAAAATAGTCCGAATATATCCGGACCGATCGCAACCGTATCCATTGACAAAGCAGATATGGTAGGGAAAAATTAAAACCGGTCTGATATGGTTTCGGATACGGTTATGGTTTTGATTTTTTTATTCGGATATGGTTTTGGATACGGTTATTGGGTTGAAATTCAAATACGATTCGGATATCCGGATATTTAAAATGTGCTAAAAAAACTAAGTTTCTAATACTTACATAGTTATATTGGGTCGGGTCTATAACATATGCTCAACCCGAACCGTATTCAATTCATTCAAAGAAATAAGTCCAGATAGTTTTTTTATTTTCACGATCTCCTCAAACCTCTTTTTTTCCTAAGGGTGTTGCTGCTTCCTAGCTCAGCCTCCAAGCTTCGACGTCGGCTCCACCTCCACCTCCACCTCCAAGCTCCGGCTCCCCCCCGCCTCCCCCTCTGTCTCGTCCTCATCTCTTCTTCGTTGTTCAAGAAGTCCGCATCGTCCTCTTCTTCATCAACGACCATCAACACCAACCTTTTCTTCTTCTTCGAAGGTTCTCCTCCTCAATTTTGTATATCTCGAAGGTGAACTCAAAACCCTAATTGGTTGATGCCCTAATTTTTTTGTTTAATAAAAACCCGAATTTCTAGCCCTAATTTGTTTGATAAAAATCCCTAATTTATTAGCCCTAATTATTTTCAGTTGCATTTTATTTTTTTATTATGATTGTAATTTGTATTATTATATTATTATTTTTTTGCTTGATTAAGTTTGTAAATTTCATTGAATAGATATTAGAATCATGTCGTCCAATCCATATTTATGTGAAAGGATTAGGATGAAGTTCTTCTAAACTAAGGCAGGAGCATGAAAGCCATCCAAGTAGTAGAAAGGAGCATGAAAGCCATCCAAGTAGTGGAAAGCCAAGCCGAGCTATTTAATAGAAAAGCATGTCGTAGTTTAGATGAGTTATTTATACTCTAAATTTTACTGTATTATCTGTATAAATATGGGAATGTATCTAACTTGTAGGCTTCTACTTTCAGAAAGGAGAACAGATGCTAATTTATGAGTTCATGCCTAATGGAACTCTAAGGGAATGTTTATTAGGTTTCTCTTAAATAACAAAAATCATATATTCTTCTCTCTTCACTTTGCCTAGACTAAAAATTTTCTTTTCTTTTTTCATAGATTTTGGGCTCTCCAAGCTAGTATCGGACATCAAAAGAGGTCAATATCCTACTCAAGGAAACGTTGATGAGTATTTATGTATAGTTACATACTTATTTCCCTAATTTCTATTTTGTGGCATGAATCTGTGTAGCAATGTTTTTTTTTTTTTTTTTTGCTCGCAAGTATATTAATTTTTAGTTATATTTTATTTGCGAGTTATTAAAATCATATGTATTTTTTGTCATATCCATTTCCCAAATATCTGATTAATATATGTATCATATCTATATCCGATTCTTTAATATCCGAACCGTATCCGCTGTCGTTTAATGCGGATATGGTAATGTTTTTTTCTTACCGATGAATAACCGAACCATATCCGTATCCGTTTTCAGAAAGTGGTTATGGATATGGTAAGTGTTATATCTGAACCGTATCCGAACCGAATGCACCCCTACTTACATGGCCAATCTATTTGAACTCCAAATATTTCAGATATGCAAATCTTAAATTGCCTAAAAGTGTAAAATACTAATTTGAAACATCTTGCAAATGTATCCAACGCTCATAGAATACAAGTGAGGTTTATCGTTTAAAGTGTCAAAGAACTCACAGATATTTGACTTGGATGCGGTAAAAATTAAATGTCACATAAAACCTTACAGTCAGTTCATTTACAATTTAAATAGCACACTCTTGCTTTGCTAGAATGATTAAAGAAGCAAGATGTTTCTAGTGACATGACCAAGTATGCCTGACTATCTCTCTTTACTTGCTTACCGGTAAGCGTTACGATGTTTCAGAAGCAATAGCATACAGAAACAGCTTAAAATTGATCAAGCTATAGACCTAAAAGTACAATCCTAAAAGTGGTAAAAATTATACTTAAAAGTTCAGCTTTGCTAATGGAGAAAAGCTTGATTTCAGCATCCAATAACAATACAATTGCATGGTCAGAAGGCTTATATTGTTGAAAATTATGTTTGTAGTATTACAAGGTCAGCAAAAATTACAACCAACACTCATCCACTGTAACATAACTTTGGTAACTATCAAATTTCATCTAAACGACAGCAGAAATTTCCAAGAATTACAAAATTGAAAAGGAGTCATGGGTACAGTTAATTCCCTGCAATGTTCAGAAAAATCGGATTACTGAGCTGGGCCGAGCAATCACGTGTATCCCAAATCCGAACAGATTGGGACTTTTTGCTCCATTATGAGGTCAAACCACATAATGGAGCTGAATCCTTATTATGCACCCGCATAAAAGACGCACAATCAAAATCGTAGGGAGTTTTTAAAGAAAGCCCACCCAACCCAATCTGTCACCCACTAATGTTAAATCACAAATCACAATCGTGATTACTTTTTCCCCCTTCTCATTTTCAGCCGATTCTGGCAAAAAAAACTGTTTTGTTTCTTCAGCAAAAAAACCTGGACCACCAGATCAGCCTATTCCCTAGCGCCTCATCTTCCTACACCACCTATTCTCTAGTTTCATTGTTGTTGCCGCATCATCACTGATTCTCCAGCTTTCTCTCCGCCGACTCTCCACTTCGAAAGCGCGCTATTTTTTCTTTTAATACAAGTAAGTTTGGATGTTTTATGTTTTATTACATAGGATTTTATGGTTATGTATTTATTACTTAACCTAAAACTTTGCAATAAAATATGCTTTCCATTCTATGCTCCCTAGTCCATGAATTTTCTTAAAGAGTGTAGAGCATGATGTGTACACGAAACATTATTTATTACTTAACCTAGTCTCTTTCATATACTGTATCTATTTCCCCTTCATTTTCATTTTTCTACAATAAAATTATTAAATTAATGTATTAGACTGTTCACGTTACGATGATAGTGTATTTATCTTCAAGTTGAACAATGTTGATGAATTGCATAGCTTATTATCTATTGCTGCAGAGAGAAGTGAGATAACTACTTGATAGTGGAATGACTAATAAAATAATATTTACAAGATTTTTTTATTATTGTTATGAAGGGTAAGCATGTGACTTGTCTGTGTGAGTTAAGTTGAAAAGAGCAGCAACTCTCTCTCCTAGATTTTTTGATAAAGCTCTTGTTCATCAAAAGTTATTATTAATAAAAGAAGTGTTCTTTGATATAACTGAACTAGAGATCAAAATGTTGTCAAGTAGTTATTGATTGCTTGTTGCTCAATTCCATGTTGGTTGGTGTTTTCTTGGTATATTTTATATTTTCATGAATTTTTTATATATTTTAATATGTTACAGATAATATATAAATATTAAAAATTCAAATCTGCCCACTAATCCGATTACTAGGAGCGAAATCTAATTAATCATTACTCACTCTTGCCTGCACGCATAATAAAGCCGTGTTTTAGAAGCTTGATTCCCCAAAATGAAAAGAAGTTAATTTTTGTTAGTTGCCCGCCATATATATCTAGTGATGGAGCACTCAATGAGTATTACAGAAACAAGTGGAAATTGAAGAGATCCTATACGAACATTTGAGCATTCAGTCACTGTTGGGTCGGGGGGGGGGGGGGGGGTGATTCTCTTTATGAACCATGAGAGGGCCGAGAGAGGGACATAGAATCTAACCATAGAAAGGAAGTCCTAAGTATATACTTGCATGCAACTTTGTATCACCCAACCTTTGATGTAAGCCAATGACATTTCATGCAAAACATATATATGTTGGATGTTTGAATTTGCAAGCGCTATGTGAAGTTGGGATAAACACTTCAAGGAACTGGATTAAGACGATTATAATATATATATAATATATATATATATATATATATATATATATATATATACTATATATATATTATAGAAGAAGAGAGCATTGACGAGAGAGAGTAGAACTTGTGTCAACTTAAGTGGATAGTGAATAGTGTGTCCACCAAACTTTATATCCACTCATTTAACATATAAAAAGTCACTTCATATCATGCAAGGATCCCTAGGAAACATCCAAGGGTTAAAAAGTTTGGTGGATGTCCACTTAAGTGGACACAAGTTTTGCTCTATATATATATATATATGGGAATGTGTGAACAGGTGAATCTCCGCACGTGGTAAGTTCACATCCCTGACAACCATGACCACCAAAATGGTCCGACATCTAATTAACAGTTGCAATCAAATTAGAGTCAAAGATTAACTAAAACCTATAGGCAAGTAAAACAAAAACAAGCACAACTTTAACTCAGATAACAGTTCAAAATAAAGGTTGAGCTTTATGCTCAAAAGAAGCACCTGGATACTTGGAACCAAAGCTTGGTCAACTATCATTTTGTCAGCCTCAATGCCAGCTAATGTCTCAGCAGAAGCCTGCCAAGGCTCAGGTAACAATGATGCAGGATTTACAAGGGCAGACTCAATTCCTTTACCCAACATATCCAGCAGCAATCTCGCTTGCATATCCAGAACAAGTGCCCTAACATCTTGAGCATTTGTGCCTTCCAAAAGCCTGCACTTTACCCTGTCAAGGCTCTGCAAGAAACCACAACAGATCAAACAGGTAAACAGAAACAACAAAGATTCATAATACATACACCCACAAAAAGCATGTAATGATAACATATTTTTCAGTAAATCGCTATTTTCAGCACATTAGCTGTGCAGATCATAGTTACACAGTACGAGTTACATAGTGGGTTGTAGTACGAATTCGGGTACGCAATTCACCACTTAACACTTGGATTCGATAGGGGGTAGTTTGCTTCGGTTTGCAAGTTTGGTTAGTACTATGCTGTAAAAAAAATTTGGGTGAGCTTACCATTTTCCAAAGTGTATAGTAGAAAACTAGGAACTAGAAAGCTAATCATGCATTCAATTTCATATAAAATACGTATATGCTTCTTTTTATGGAATTCATTCTTTTATTCTGTTTCTCTTTTCACATAGTTCGTGTTGGGATCATGGTTTCATTTCACTTTTTTTTAACAAAGGTATTTAGTTATAGTTATAGTACACTCATTGCCTCGTATATTCTACCGTGTGCCTCCCTTTAGTCGCTCACAGCCATACATTGCGCCTTGCCCATGTACACTTAAAGGAACTTTGCGCCCCGCATATTTATAGGCGACACACCAATTTTGGGGAACCAATTCATGTATCGAAGGGAATCGTCCGCAAATGTACAGGGAAATGGTTCGCATGAGTTGTACAACGGATTTGAGGGGGGGCCATGGTGCAAATTATACACCATGCGGCGTGTTATTTTCATGAAAAAATGAATTTTCATACAAACAATCATCATAGTGCTCCTGTTAATATAGAACAAACTACTTTCCATAACTAAAAAAATATTAAAAAATCCTTGTAACTTATTAATTAGATTAGATATACAGATCGAGTATTTTCTGCTCATTACCTGGCATTGTAATCATAGATTTCATGAAAGGGAGAACTAAGAACAAAGTAGTAAATTAGAAATAACCACCATTACATGCTTTGAGAACATCAAGTAACCCTACCATCTAGATCAAAGACTAGAGAAAAAATAGACTATACAAAATTGCCAAAGGTAACTGTATTGTTATTACGAGAACTTAAGTAATTATCAAAAAGAATGCACCAAGAGGAAGTCAGCAACAAATTTGTGACTATGATCAAGAAGCTGCAACATGGAAAATAGAACATTGAATCTTGATAGAAGAGCTGTCCAGACAACTATGGTTGGAAGAAAACAACTTGTATATACTATTTTAAGTAATCAAGTTTTTATATTAATGTGAGCACATGATGTGTTGCAATTTAAAATGGAAGGACATGAGTACATACGGGTCCATACTGTTGCCTGTATTGAATAGATGGCAAGGAATGGAAGTCTGCATCCAGCACCGCAATCACACTATACAATGACACTAGAAAAAGCCAAAAAGGTAGACCATAATTAAAGTGATGAAGCAATTGAGTCAGAGTAGAAATAAAAAAAGTGAAGCACCTCTAATTATCAACCTATAGAAGAATAGTCCACAATATCTAGCATATACGAGTTAATATTTAGCATAGAAGAGTTACAAGTAGAAGTTGAACATGGCAAGCCTTCCATATAGAAGAAGATAAATTGAAGTGAAATAAATTACTTTCATGTTCTACAAGGAAGAAATTGAACTGTTTTTATGTAATAGAAGTTAAAAGTAAGAGTTGGCACAACAGGATTAGAGTGATCCATTGTTCCATATCATAAAGCAAGTGATCTATAGATAAGCTCAATCCAGGCTTCAATGGATACTTTTGAATGCTATAGAAGATCATAGAAAAACACTCTAGAACAGGTCATGTGATGTGTGCAGTACAAGCAAGCATAGAGTGCCAAACATCAACATGAAAGGATCAAATATCAATATTTCTCCATTCAAATAGACAACCAACTTCAATCAAATGAAATTGATGATTGTCAATAACCATAAATTCCAAGGAAAATGTTGAAACCATAAAGCCAAAATGGTAAATGCAACAAAATTGATCACTTTTCTGCAAAAACAGATGGATATTTGTCTACACAGATTATAATGTATTCCCTGCATATTCCAGTTTTCAAAATTATTTCCTATATTGATGTAACAGTGGGTTAGGGAGCAAGTTCTCAGGGACGACTTCAATCAGCCGATGACGCCCTTCCAATACAAGGAGAGCTCATACTGGGAGGAAAATCTATTCCCCTTCGCAACTGGAAAAAGGGGATTACTAAGATCAATTCAATACAGCTCTTCAGATGGACATTTCTGATATGGATAGACTAGATATTGTGCATTGTTTAAATGGTTGCATATATGTGAATACAAACGGAATTTAGACATTACAACTACAAGTCTACAACATAGAGACATAACATACAGGGTAAGAAATGCATGGCTTATTTCTCTGTGTAGTTGTGTACCTAAAACTAATTGATCAAAATTACTGACAACAAAAGAGTGGTGAGAAAGGAACCTTAGGTACTAAGTGACCTTGATTATATTGGGATTTTTCCCCTCCTCGTATTTGATATTTCTTTTAACTCGGTCTAGATGAGCTTTCATTTAACATTCCCCATAATTGTGAAGAGTTGTCGGGGAATATAAAACATCATAAGTAGCCTAAACAGTTAGCTTTGTTGTGGTGTAGAAAATGGATGAGGCAGTCGTAATTCATTAAAGGAACACTTGGAAAGAACAAAATACTTTCTATTCATGCCATCCTTCAGCCTTCATCTTTACATTTCTTTGTCCAAACATAACCAGACATTAAGCTTGGACAATCTTGGCCAAGCCTTTCATACTAAAATGAAAATGCTCTCCTACAAGCTACAGGGGAAGTTTCTCAACTTGGATTTAGCTTCCATTGTCACATTGCTGAAGAGCTTCCACATTAAAGGTTGGCCAATTTTCATTTCGGTATCCCAAAGTTCACTGACTTTTTCAATTTGATACCCTAAAGTATTTTTTTTAATATTTTGATACCTCAAAGTTTCAATCCCATGTCACTTTGATACCCCTGTCCAGATATCATTAGATTTTCCGTGAAATTGGTATCATATGCATAGCATTCAGGTTCATTTTACCCAGTTGCTAGAGATCCAAACGAAAAAATTGTTTCAAATAATAGTCCACAGGGTATCATATGCTTATACAAATTTAACAGAAAATCTAAATGAATATGGATGGGATACGGAAGTGAAGATTGAAGCTTTGGGTATCAAAGTGTTAAAAAATTACGTTAGGATATCAAATTGAAAAAATGGGGAAACTTTGCGGTACGAAAGTGGAAATAAGACTTAAAGATTTTCAACTTAGTTTCCATCATCATATTTCAGCTATGCATGTATGCGATTTACATGAATACAATCTCACTCCACCTTGCCATGGGGGATAATTTATATCACCACCTGTTTCAGTGTACCATGTCTTTATCTTCCATACTTAGCATTCCACTTTTAATTGTTTCTGCTAAACACAGAGAGCAGTTTTGACCTGGTCACATAACTACTTGTAGCTGCGCAAACTATAATGCCACAACTATAACCAAGCATTGTCCCTGCAATTTCAAGTTCGTCCCTTGGGTCGTATTTGCTTAAATGCATTCCCTATTCCTGTAAGCTCTTAAGTCTTAACCCTTTCCACCAACTTGAATTTCATTCTTGGACCATCTTCACAAAACCACGTTCAGAGGGTGCATAAACATTTGATTTCAGTTATAAATAGTCAGCAATGTTTTCACACCAATTCAAGTACAACCATCATAAATTACTCGGTTCAGTTACCTTAACTAACAGGTTTCTAATCAACTGAATAGCTGACAGGATTCAAAAATGTTAAATGAATTTATTAAGCAACCAAAACCTAGCATGAACTCAATCAGTGTATTGATGAATGAGAAATTGCCCTACCAATTCCATCCTCAGCAGCGCTTTGCGTACATCCAACTGCATCCCACCAATCAACTCCAGCCACAAGACTCCACCAAAACCTGCATTTCCATCTCAAAAAATGAGGAATATTTGAGGAAAACAATTGAGCAATATGACGAGTTCAATGTGTTGATACCTGTCAGCAATTGCACGTTCCCATGTTGCTGAGCTGAGTTTCACTTGAGTTGAAGAAATAGCAGGAGGGAGAACCCGTATTATCTTCAGGGTGGTGCGATCCTTGCTGCTATCATGCCAAACAGAGGCCAGGCAGCAACCAGTAGATGAGAAGGCAGGTGCAGCAATGGTTGAACCAACATTGATATGATAGCTATCAACTGGATTGAAATTTACACCAGAAAAGATGTGGACTCCACCACGAAGAAAAGCAACTGCAACCTCACCACCATGAGCGGAATAGACAATCTGAGCTAGCTGTCTAACATCACTTGGCAGATCATAAGGATCAAAACTGAGCCTGTTCGCTCGGTCAACGCTGCAGTCTGATGAATTTCTATCATCAGATAGCGTTGACGCTGTTGCAGCTGATTGTGGATTTCTCAGATCATCAGTTGGTGGAATACTTTTGTTTACTCTTGTAGTCCAAACTGTTTGCATGGGTGGCTGCCCACCAAAACTGGAAGCAGGATTTCCAAATATGGGATGAAGAACTACAGGCTTAAGTGAAGATTCCCAGCATTGGACCCTCCATCCTGTTATTGAAGGTCCCTCGTCAGGATCGTATGGAGACATATACTGCCCTGAAAAGATACAAGTCAGATAGTTCCCATATCGCTGCTCTCTGGAAAAGGATGCTCAAATGACAATATGTCATAAAGCAACAAAAATATATAAGATCTTTTGACTCAGACAAGGGTAGACTGCAAAATTCTAATAAAAGGAGAAGGAGAAGGAAAACATGGAGTTTTTCAAAGAACATAGGGACAAGTAGTAGACGGCTATATCTCCAGACATGAAGAAGCATAACCATGTATTGCCTTTAGAAATTAAGTTTCAGCCGGCAGTCCCACAAGAGTAATAAAAAATAAACTATTCAAACAACACTAAACTATTAAAACAATCTAGATATTATTTTACAAAAGAAGTGGTGTAGAATGCATCAAAAAAAAATTGAATGAAATAAGTTAAAAACTACAAAGGAGAATATATGCAGTACCTTCAACTATTACAACAGAAATAACTGAGCCACCCCGTGTGGGATCAAAAGCAACTGCAGTAACCCCAGAACCCCAAGTAGTGGTAGCAGCAGATTGGGCAGCAGCCTCAGGACTCACATATGCTGAAAAGTTTGAAACAGGTGAACAATGCAGTGATGCAGCATCACTAATCTCCTGCTCCGTCAGCCTCTTTCCTTGCTTCTCTTCTGATACTATGTACTCTTGTAAATTAAATAAATATGCGGCTAGAGGAGCGAAACCTGCCCAGGAAGGAGGATTCAATGATGGAGGGAGAGCACTAACAGTGCTGATCTTGGCAGTTGGCTGGAAACCATTTCCTGGTCCTGGTGTAACCTCCCAGACAACAACAGTAGATGGATTTACTAGAGGAACACCAGCAACATGCATGGTCCCTGCTTCAGTGATGATAGCATCAGCAGCCATTATGCCGCTTGGGCCAGCTCCTAGCAGGACTTTGCTTGTTGAAAACCATTTTCGAGGGACACCACTTTGAGGAGGCCATTGTGCCCAGTGAAGCTGGACTGACCCCGATGAGAAAACTGAACAGACACATAGAAACTGTGGCCATTTTGCTGCAGAAGAAGATCCTGTCAGGTATATCAGGACATAAAAAGTTAGGGAAAATATATAAAATCGGTGTCCCGGAGATGTTGACCTGCAATTTGTGACTGCTGTGGAAGAAACTTTTCGTCAAACTTCAGATTTGAAGAGGTGCTTGAATTTGAAGGAAGCGATCGGTACTGTCAAATGGAACAATACATCATATTGATTTAGACAACATCAATAAACAGAGACATAGACAATGAATTTAAAAGTTAAGAAAAGAACTACAATAATACAAATAATTTAACAGACATAAAAAGGCCGTTTAGTAAAGAAAGACGCGGGTTCCTAAGATGCTTCTTCCTGAAAATTAGACAGACAAAACACTTGAAAGTTAATTAAAAAAACTATACTGAAGGTATCCCATACACTAAATACAATAAAATTGAAAAAAAAAATTAAGCAACTAAATGACCATTGCACAGTGACAATCTCCATCTTTTGTCACCACTTTGTATCAGATGATATTTTTCATATTTTTGTCCAGATAATTTCAAATTTAAATAATATAAACTTTCATTTTCATTTTACAGAAAGCTTTGAATAAACTATAGTATAGAAAAAAAATATTAGGAATTGGTTCGGTAAACACTTTCCGATAAAAAATGCGAGCTGTTCATTTAATCAAAAGACAGGATCTAAAATGCCAATTCACACTTCACAGTGGTTCAAACTATGGGTGGATTGAAACATTCAACCACGAAAAGACACATTTGATGTGAGTACAAAAGGTAAAAAGAAAAGGGGTCTACTTTGATATTTGTATTATATCTATAATGGTTTTTAATCCTCAACAACCCAAAAATGCACCTTAATTTCTTCTTTCAAATATCTATTCCAGCATCTCCTAAGCAGAAAGAACGAGTTGAGAGTTCGATCAAATAAGTAAAGGAGGAAGAAAAGAGGGAGAAGACTAGAAGAAACTCCCAGAAATCTATGCCATCACACCTGATTCAGGACATTAAGTTCATCACGTGGACAACCATTAGAATCACCTCTTACATTCTGGTTTGCATACGCAAACAATTATGGGTTACTTATAGCTCTTTAATCTAGGTCTTACAAACCAAAGCATCTTGTTTTATTAAAATATTCCTTTCCAGAAAAGATAGTAATAGTAATAACAACAGTAATAATAATAAAGTTTCACAAAACATCTGCGCCCGTAAACATACAAAATAAAACTTCTATTGAGAATTGAAATGGAAAAAACATAAAATAAACATCAAGATTGCTATTTTTATGTCCTAACCATCCCTTGAACCCATTCTTCTCACTGGATCCTCCAGGACTGATTTTAATTATTCTCCATCACAGATTTGATCATTCTGTATGATATCTCCTAATCTACTTCTGAATGTCCACATTCATTATTTAATGTTTTGGATCTTTGATGTCCAACAGTTTTCTAGTTCTTACATCCAGTCAGCGATCATCATGGGGGAACTTTTCCAAATAGAATGGTTCACAAGCAAATAAGCGGACTTGCACACACATAATGGTTATCTGTAATTCTTTTTCTCAGAGAAGATGTCATCCATCTGAAAAATATGCTCTCATGTTCCCAGGTTGTCAATACACTTAATAACATTTAATTTTGTTAATATTAACTACGATAGAGTTATTGATGCGAGTAAATAAACATCAATCAAATTTCAAGAGAATGAATAGAAATACACAGCTATTATACCGGGGTCATCCCTGACAGCCACTTGGTCACAACTGCAAGATCCTGTCGCCACTCATGTTCACATTGCCAACAGCTTGCATCCCGCACAAGATTAGCAGGGCCCTGAAAAGTCCAAAGAGGACATTAAGGTCAAAAGAAGACAGATAAAAGAAAAACCGTACAATTTTTAAAGTTAATCAAACATGAAGCAACAAACTAGTGACTTATTCTTTGTGGAAATCAAAAGAGGATGTCAAAATAACCAATAAAGTGACGGAAACTAAAGGTACTTGCAGACATTATGACAACTTGCTATTATTACATTTGGGCACAAGCCCGTTGGAACAAAAATCATTTATAGGAAATATGTAAGTGGCTTGTGTGATACAGAAATAAAGAACCAACATTACATTAATAAGAAAGCTGAATTAACAGAAATGGAATTTACTAGTGAAGGTTGAGTCCATATAGAGAACCTCCCATGAAAGTTAGCTATCAGTAAGGCACGAGGACAAGATCTAGGAGACCATTCAATAAATTGAACAGAATCCCTTGGTGAATCTGTTACAAAAAATGTAATGAACACGTTAAATTCCATAAGATATGGGTTTGTAAGATGCAATATGTAAACTAGCTAAGAAATGTAATACGCCCATCGAAAATAGTCTAAAAGAATGAAAACAATATATGGTTACTCTTATACTATCAAATAGCATTTGCCCAACAAATATGGAACAAAAAACAACAAAGGTAAGTAGAAGTATTTACAGATCAATAAGATCTCATCAGCCCATACAATCAAATTATGGACCAAAATGTCCCTCAACTAAAATCAGATGAAATGGACCATAAAAAGAGGATGACTCGGTGCACGAGGCTCCCATCACTTTGTGGTCTAGTGAGGGTTAGATGTATGCAGCATTACCCCCGCATGTGGCTAGGCTGTTTTCAAGACTCGACCAGTGACCACAAGGTCACACGGCAACGTTACCGTTTGCGCCAAGACTCACCTTCTAAACTAAAGTCAAATCTTCTAGTTTGAAATATTCCTAATCTAAAATCATATAAATACTTAATGAAATGTCCACGAACTAAAACCAGACAATATGGTCCGAAACAACCCTAAACTAAAATCAAACTATGACATAATGTCTCTAAACTAAAATAAAAACTTGTAGATCAAAATGTTTCTAACCAAAAACTAAACAAATTTTATTGAAACGTCTCCAAAATAAAGTTCATTTTAAAAGACTGAAATGTACTTAAACTAAAATTAAAAAACAAACTTGTACAACTGAAATGCCTTAAAACTAAAAATTATAACTCAAACTCCATTATGCAGAAGAGTCCTTCAACCAGAAAATTCATAAATCTTACAATTTCCTTATTTTATTAAGGGAAAATTGCCTCCACCCCTTAAGATTTGAAAATCATGCTTCCTCTCTTCAAAAAAAAGTCAAATGTCTCTATCCCCTAGCTTTTTTAAATCCTATACCTACCCACCTTGTCCCCAGAAATACATGAAACTGACCAAAAACCAAAGGACATGAAAAGACAATATGGAAGTAGATAGTCATGCGGACATGAAGAATCTGTTTGGTTTGAAGGGAAATGAAGGAAACGAAAAGAAAATGGAAATGGAAATAGGGTTTTGTAGTTTGGTTAGGAAGAAAGATAAAAAGAAAAGGGAAAATGAAAATTCAGAGGGAAAATCCCTATTATAATTTTCATTTTGGTTTTCATCGCCCGGACCCAGTGGAAATGAAGGGAAAAAACATCGGGCCACAGCAGAAGGCTGCTCGATCGCCTCCTCGAGCACCAAAAGGCACTCCCCGTCCCATTTTGATTACATGGGGGCCCCAGGATAAATTTAGATCAAAGCTCAGTTTCTATCATATGGCCCCAAGTTCAGGTAAAGAATAATAAAAAATCGAATGAGCTGAATGTTAAGGCCCATGTAAGGGGGAAATATTTTAATTTTAGAAAACCCCTTGAACCCCCAAGCTTATTTAATTCCAAAAGAAACCCTAGAATTTTGAGAGATTTTGCACCCCCCGCCCCGCCCCCGCCCGCCCCAAAAAAATTTTTTTATTCTACTAAATCCTTTGAAATTTTTTCACTTTAACCCCCAAAGTGACACCATTAAGTCTAATAGGTCATACATCAAATCATGATAAGAAGGACTAAAATAGTCAAGAGGGTTTTCTGCAACCACCTCAAAGTTCATGGGCTTTTTTGAAATTAACCTAAAAAAACTCCCAGAGCTAGAATCTTATATATAGAAGACAAGAAATATTTAAACATATCAGAGTACACAACTTTCTAGCTAACCAAACAACAAAAGAAATCTTATTTTTCTTTCTTTTTCTTTTCCTTTCTTTTCTCATTCCTTTTCTCTTTCTTTTTTTTTTTTTTCCTTTCCCTCATACCAAACACAGCCAAAAGGAAAATGTGAAAAAGAAACAATTGACAGTAAGGAGCAAAACAAAGAAATATAAGGAAATATAGATGAAGAAAGCTAACTAAGAAACACCATCTTTTTTAGACAAGATTTCTAAAACTTAAGCACTTACATTAAGCACAAATCATCTCCATACTCATGATGGTCAAATGAGCACTAATTTATTGCTGATGTCAAGGAAGTGAAGAATAACTGCAGCATACCTGCTTTAACATTAAAAACAGCACACTCTGTGGGCCTCTCCGGGTTGATAATATGTATCGGGATCCAAAATGGTGGGTTTGCATTGGAGCTGAAAAGATATTCCAGCAAAGTACAGTTACAGGCTTAAAAAGTAACATATTGGATAGTCGGATACAAATGCAAATCTTTCCATTCTGAGTAAGTAAACAAACAAACATATCTCTCTTGATAATGAAATCTGAACACAGTAATAGATGAACAATATAGTCATTTGACCTCTAAAAAGCTCAAGATATATTAATATCATTTTACTGGGTTGACAACTGTGAAACGACCAATGACAAATTTTTTTTGGGGGTGGAGGTGTTGGTTGTAGGGGGTAACAGCCAGATCCTTAAGTCTTTACTTATTTATTTGTGGAGGAACCGGACTCACGTTTTGCAGCATTTTCTCTCTATGTGCATGCTCCTTGTTAATATAATTAAAATTTCTTGCCAAATGTACAAAAAGACAACTAAAACATTATGAAAGTTTTCGTGAATATGAAGTTTACACAATTTGAATTATGAAGCTAATGGTTTTAATAAATTCCAAAGTTATTTGTGATACTGCTTCCAGAGATCGAGTACCTCTGGTCATAAGGTCCGATTATCTACGAGACAACCTAGACAATAAAAGATAGAACTGAAGATATTAGGACATTGTAACTGAAGTTAAGTATTTCCAACACAAGATAATTTGTATCCACCTAATCTGCTTGTCTCCGTTGTCAATAATTAACAAGACAAGTACAAACTAGGTCCAAGTAAAAAGACGTATTTCAAGCAATAGTGGAGATTCAGCGAGATAAAAAAACAGTTGAATAGAGCAAATAGCTAGACAGAATGACCGCAGGAGATAGACACAGGAATGCGAAAAGACCAAGTTAAGACAATATTCTTTTTCAACCTTACTAACTTTAAATCAAGGGGCTTACTGAGAGATAAACCCTCGGTGTTCATTCTTGCTTGTCATTTATGCAGGCCATAAACCTAATTGGTGCAACTGCCCCAACCCATCAACCCAGAACACTGCAATCTGCAGTCAACAATTGATTGGCTACCCCAAATGTTTTAGTATTAGTAATGAGTAATGAGTAACAAGTATGAAAGATTAATTGAATGAGAAAGGTTAATTACTCCAGCAGCCAATCTAGATCTTGATATTAAATAGGATTTGTAGTTGAAAGGAAGGAATGTCGAAATAATATTAAAGAGATAAATCATGGGACTAGATCTCTTTCCAAACAAGATTTCAGAACCACATCTAGTCAAATAAGGACTTCAATGAAGTCCACAACAACAAAAAAAGAACAGAACATTTATGGAAAGCTTTTTTGGCTGCTTTTAATTAAAGATCCAAGGTATTTTACGAATTCATGGAGTTAATAGTCATAAAAAAGCATGTCCTATTCATGAAATATGGTTTTTCACTATTAAGATGTGTGTACCACCTTGCCTAAGCTCAGGTGGTAAGAATATTCTCGATCCAAATAGTAAGCCATTGGTCCAAATCTCGCTAAATGCTATAGAAAAAAGTTTGACGACCTAAAATCAGCTGCATACTACTGTAGGCTCACCACGCACAGGTTCATAAAGTAATGACGGATGTTAGGGGAGTATCATAGTGTTTGGTAGCGGGCGAAGGCTTAGTTCTGACCTGTTTGTGCAGTAGAAGGATGTAAATGCAAAATATAAGTCATGCCATAATGGACATTCCTCCCTTTAAAGATAGCCTTTACCCCATTATGTAGGCCCTTTTAAGTGCCGCTTACATGCAAATCTTCAAAAAAGAAAAGAAAAGAAAAGAACTGTGATGCCCGACACCACTGAATTCAAATGCTTTTGTATAATAAATTTGTGAAATATACTTGTCAACTCCTACAATAACAAATGCAACCTCTAACAATAAAGATAATGGATTACGATTACGATTATAACTTAAATCCACAAGCGCAAAACAACTATCATCCCTCCGAATCACATAAGCCGAGACCCTACATTGTTATTTCCATTTTCAACTTAGTGTGAAGGGGACAAATCTAAAACTGACCAAAGACGTAATAATTCCGGATAATACCCTCAATCTATAAAATCCAGCCTATTTCCGTTCTTCTGAACTGTATGTACTCAACGATATGCATGGTTTTCATCATTGATTCTCACTAGAAAAGAATAATTAACAAGAAGAAAAAGAAGCCTTTGAAAAGTAACACAAACCTAGGTATTCTCGCACAGGTCTCTGACGCACAAGCAATAGCATTCAGCTTCCCGCACCAAGCAACTGCGCTGCCCCCATACAAAAAAATCACAATTACAAGAATCAAAGAAAAAAAGGGAAAATGACGAGAAATTCCCTTCACAGTTCATCTATACATAGTTTGTCATGATACCCCTTCATCTATTAAGTTCACCTATGAACCCCCTCGTCTATTCATAATTGTGTACATTTGTAAAGTTCATGTAACTTCCTTCATCTATAAAGGACATGATAGAAGACAAAATAAAAGCAACAGGAATAGTTGTGGAATTTAAATTTAATCCTCTAACAAGCATCACAAATTTACGCTAAAAGTGTTAAAAAACTAATGATTTTTAGTTTATAACTACTATAGATTAGAGAGGGTTTTTTCTCTTTTTGAACTTAATGCATGAGGGGGTTTCTTTAAAAAAAAGGGTATAGATGGAGGGGAGGGGGTTTAATAAAACGCCCTTGACTTTTATGTTCAACAAAAGGACCCTAATGTACCACCACGCTTCCGCAGTACTAACGCCCATGCGAGCTAATTGTTGTTTAGTCTCTGTCGAACGCTGCAATCTCGGCATCACCCCTTTGTCTTTGCATTAAACTAGTTATGACAAACTGGCATCACCACCCGTGGCC